GTGGGGACCCCTTGGACTGCATCCTTCCTTGCAGGTGGCCCATCGACCCCGATAGGTGTTGCACGTGTGGTATCGCACTAGACTTGTGTTTCACCACTTTCTCGTCAAGGCGAGCAGGAGCGACCGCTTCTGCACCCCAGCTGGCGGCAGCCCGGCTGCGCGCGGCCGCAAGGCGGGCGCCCACCCTCCGCGCCCGCGCGCGCGCCCGCGGGGACTCGGGACCTCCCTCCCCCCCCCCCCCCTGACCGCTGGCGCCCCTCCTCCTCCTCCTCCTCCTCCTCCTCCTCCCTCCTCCTCCTCCTCCCCCTCCTCCTCCTCCTCCTCCTCCTCCTCCTCCTCTCCTCCTCCTCCTCCTCCTCCTCCTCCTCCTCCTCCTCCTCCTCCTCTTCCTCCTCCTACTCCTCCTTCTCCTCCTCCTGGCCTCGCCCCCCGCCGTCGGCCTCTGTGGGCCTCTCCCCCCTGGCGGCTCTCGTGGGCCTCCGCCACGCAAGAGGTCTCGGACCTCTGGGGGCCCGCTGCAGGGGGTGGTCCTGGGCCGCGCGTGCTGCTGTTATCCCTGGTGTCCCCCTCCTCGTCCTCCTCCTCCTCCTCCTTCTCCTCCTCCTCCCCCTCCTCCTCCTCCTCCTCCTCCTCCTCCTCCTCCTTCTCCTCCTTTTCCTCCTCCTCCTCCTCCTCTTCCTCATGCTCCTCCTTCTCCTCCTCCTCCTCATCATCATCATCATCCTCCTCCTCCTCCTCCTCCTCCTCCTCCTCCTCCTCCCCCTCCTCCTCCTCCTCCTCCTCCTCCTCCTCCTCCTCCTCCTCTTCCCCCTGGCGGCTCTTGCGGGCCTCCGCCACGCAAGAGGGTTCGGACCTCTGGGGGTCAGCTGCAGGGGGGGTCCTGGGCCGCGCGCGCTGCTGCCCCCCTGGTGCCCCCCTCCCCGCTCAAGGCCCTGTTGGGCCCAGTAGCGCTCGGGGGCACCAGATCCGCCTTGCTGGAGCCTCCTACCCTTGCATTCTGGCTTCGGTGCGGCGAGGGGGCCCAGCCGACGGCCCCGCGCTGGCGGCTCTGGGGCCACTGCGAGGGCGTTGCATCCAGTGAGGGCGCCACCTATGTTGAGTCCTTCGAGGCGGGTACGGACCTCATCTCGGGGGAGTGGCGGAGGGGCCCCTGTCCAATTCTCTCTACGGACGATGCCTGCTTTTGGTCGTCTTAGATAGCTATTTCGGGTTATTGTTCCGATCCCGTCGAGTTGCGCGTGCTCGTCCTTTTTCTTGCTCGCTATCTTTCTCTGCTGCTGCTTTGCGCACTCGTTTCGGTCTGGTGGTGCCCTTTCCTCCTTGTCCTCCTCCTCCTCCTCCTCCTCCTCCTCCTCCTCCTCCTCCTGCTCCTCCTCCTCTTCCTCTTCTTCCATCTTGCTGGATATCACGAGTGCACCGAGGTATGGTCATACCCTTCCAGGAACTGTCCAGCCGGAACCCCGTTTTTAGAAAAGGGGCCATTCTCGACCCGTCAAAGGTGTTGCGCAAGTTTCATCACACGAGACCGGCGAAGAAGGCCCAAGCGCCAGCCCAGCGTTGACAAGACACCGCCCCCCGCCCGCGCAGCTGCTGCACGCGTGGAAGCGGACGGGCCCCCCGTCGGTGCCACTGCTGGGAGCAGCTGAAACGAGCGCGCGCGGCCCCGAAGCGAGAGCTACGTCTCGAGGCCCGCCCGCCCTCCGCCCGCGCGAGTGCCGAACATAGAAGGGCACGGCAGAACACGCAGGAGCACGGCAAAACAGACAGAGCACACAGGAACACGGCAGAACACACATGAGCACGGGAGCACACGCAGGAGCATGGCAAAACAAGCAGGTACATGATAGAACACACGGGAGCACGGCAGAACACACAGGAGCACGGCAGAACACGCAGGAGCATGGCAGAAAAAGCAGGGACAGGGCACAACACACAAGAGCACGGCAGAATACACAGCAGCACGGCAGAACACGCAGGAACACGGCAGACCATGCAGAAGCACGGCAGAACACACAGGAGCACGGCAAATTTCATTGTACATGCCTGGTGGACAAGGCGACGCTTCCCGTTCTTGTCCGGTCAGGTTCTTCGGGATGGCGATTTCGCGTGAGACATCCTCACAAAAATGAGATCTTCGCGGCATCGCGTTTAACAAAAAGAAGCGTTTCGTTCGAGACATTTTCGAAAAGTTGATGACAGCGAAATTTCGCCGTCTGTGACATTTTGCGTTTCGTTTGGGACATCCTCGAAAAATGAGATGGCGACTGGAGTCTTTAACTGACTCTTATGTAAAGAATTGCGATTTCGCTAGGGACATCGTCAGAAAACGAGCGGCAGCACGGCGGACCAGAACGAAGAGCACGGCAGAAAATTTGCATTTCGCTAGGGACATCCTCAACAAAATGAGATGTCCTCAACGTCGTCTTGATATCGTTTTCGAAGTACCTCAAGATGACGAAAGGAGAGGCCAAAAAGCACGTCAAGATGGCTGTCAGAACGATTGGGGGATTTCCGAAAATAGCGATTTCGCCCGGGACATCCTCAAAAAGCGAAAACATACACCAGCATCGACTTGAAAATTGTTGTTCTTACATGGTTTGACTTTGTTTCTGAAAAGGCTTCCAGACGGCCCAAGGCAGCCTTCAAAAAATGTCGATTTCGGTAGGGACATCCTCAACAAATTGATGCGTGCGACATCGCATCGTAAAAAAAATAGGAGGGCATCAGGAAGCAAAAGAAGGCCACAACATGGCTTCAAGAGCGCCCTTAAGGTTGCTGAAAATAGTGATTTCGCGAGGGACATCTTCAAAAAAACAAATCGAACAGCATCGTTTTGAAAACTGCTGTTCTAACATCGTCTGGGGATCGCTCCTGGAAAGGCTTCTAGATGGTTTAAGCCAGTCATCTAAAAATGACGATTTCGCTGGGGACATCCTGAAAAAATGAATGTGTGTAACATCGGAATGTAACGGTTTTGTCAGGCATCAAGAAGGCCCCCAAAGGCCCCAAACAAGCCCAAATTTGACCCCCAGGAGCGCCCTCGAGACGATCCAAAATGGCGATGTCGCCTGAGACATCCTTACAACAATGAAATGTTCACAACATCGATTTCATCAAAAATGAGCGTTTCGCCAGAGACATCCCTTAAACATGGGAAGCCGCGAATTCGACAGATGTTCAAAAACTAGCGTCTCGCCTGAGACATTCTAACAACAATTATATCTTGGAGTGGCGTTTTTACTACCTCTCGTGTTAAAAATCGTGCTCTCGCTGCATACATCCTCAAAAAAATCTGGCGGAGCATGGCCGGCGGAAAAAGAGCAAGGCAGAGAATGAGCAGTTCTGCCGTGCTCCTTCGCTCTTGACGTCTATTCTGCCGTGCTCTTTCGTTCCTGGGGTCTAGTTATTCTGAAATGCTCCTTGTTTTTTTTTGTGCCGTGCTCCTTCGCTCTTCGGGCCTATTCTGCCATGCTCCTGGCCATTTTCTGTCACAATCCTTTGTTATTGGGGCTTATGATGCCGTGCTCCTGGTCGTTTTCTGCCGTGCTCCTTAGCTCTTGGGGCATATTCTGCCGTGCTCCTTCGCTTTCGGGGTTTATTATGCCGTGCTCCTTGTCTTTTTCTTGCATACTCCTTCCTTGGGGCGTATTATGCCGTATTATTGCATCTATCTTGCCGTGCTCCTTAGCTCTTGCGGTCTATTCTGCCATGCTCCTGGTCACTGGTCGCGTTTTGCAATGTTCCTTCTTTCCTGGCGCCTATTCTGCCGTGCTCCTCAGCTCTTGGGGTCTATTCTGTCGTGCTCCTGTTTTTTTTCCTATCATGCTCCTTCGCTCCTGGGGCCTCATTTGCCGTGCTCCTTCGGTCTTGGGGTCTATTCTGCCGTGCGTTTTGTCTTGTTTTGCCGTGGTCCTTTGCGATTGAGGTTCGTATTCCTAGTTCTTTTTGCCTTGCTCTTTAGCTCTTGGAATTGATTTTGCCGAACATAGAGGGGCACGGCAGAACACGTAAGAACACGGCAAAACAGACAGAACACACGGGAACACGGCAAAACACACAGGAGCACGGCAGCACACGCAGGAGCATGGCAGAACAAGCAGGAGCACGGCAGAACACACAAGAGCGCGTCCGTAGCCATTTTGGCTCAAGCCATTTCCCGTGGCCCGTCCTCCGGTCTCCCGTGCTGGGCGCGCATGGCCGTGGGGGCGCCGCTGGAGGGTGCGGGCTTGGGAGCGATGGCGGCGGGGAGACGGCCGTGGCGGCCGTCTGAGGCGTTGCGGAAGCCTCAGCGCGAGCGGCGGGCCGCACAGCGCTGGGCAGCACTCTCCCGCGAGCGCCTGGTGGAGCGCCGGGCGTCCGAGCTCGCGGAGCTGCGGAGCCTGGCATCGGCCCCCCCCCAGCGTCCTGCGCCGCCTGGCGCTTGTGGCGCCCGTGCGGATCGCCCAGGAGTGCGGCGGGCCGCTGGAGGAGGAGCGCACCCTCGAGCGCAGTGCGGGGTGCCACGCGCGGGCCCGCCTCCGCGGCCTGGCGCTCCGCGGGCCGCCTGGAGGAGGGCGCAACGCGGGCCGCGCCTCCCGTGCCCGAGGTCGGCCGTAGCGGCGAGCTCAGCGAAGGAGGAGCCGCGGGCTGTGGGCGCGAATGCCATTCACGTCGCTGATCTTGAGGCGGGGCTCCTGGCGGAGGCTGACGCCCAGGCGAGCGGCGGTGCGTTCCCTCCCCCGCCAGGCGTTTGGCTGGTCGCTGACCCACTGGCCGGGGCGAGGGCCTTCCGGGAGGGCTTCGACGCGGGCTGGCGCCTTGCTGGGACGGCCTCCGGCGCTCCGCGGGGCGGCGACGGCGTGGTGCTGCAGGAGCAGTGCGTGCCCTCCTCGTCCTTCCGTGGAGTATGGGAGGTCTGCAGCGACGGTGCGTGCGGCGGCGGGCAGGCTGCCCCTGCCGCCATGGCAGAGCCTGGCCCTCCCCGTGAGGGGGTTTGGAAGGCAGGCGCGGCGATGTAGGAGGACGGCAGGGCCGCCCTCCATGCGCCGTGCCGTGCGATCGATGGTGTGCAAGGCGGTACTGCAGGCGAGAGAGCGCCGCGGCCGCCGCTGCTTCTGGAGAGCCTGGCGGGCCCAGGCAGCGACGACGGCTTCGTTGACGGCTGTTTGGACGGCCCTGTCGACGGCGACGCGGACGGGGACACGGCCTGCCCTGGGCCCCCCGCCCGTTCGGAGCCCGACAGCCACGTCCTGGAGTATCTGGACCGCTTCGGCGCGGCGGTGCTGAGCGGCGGCACGGCCGTGGAGCTGGTGAGGGGCACCGCTGGTTCCGAACGGGCAGCCGCTGCGGCGAGTGCCGAGCGGTTCCTCCCTTTCCTCGATGAGTTCGGCTTGGCCGCGGTGGCTGCTGCGGCCCGCGGGCCGCTCTCGGGAGTGGAATCGCTCCTGGACCTCGCCGAGGGCCGCGCCGAGGATTGGCTTCTGCAGCGTGAGCGTACATTCGGTGACAGGGCAGAGGTCGAAACCCGCGCTGAGAGCTCACTGTTGCAGAAGGGAGTTCGTAGTGATTCTTTATCACGGTGATTGCTTTGAGGTGGATGGTCAGTGATCGCTTCTGGCTTGTGCTGTCCTCACACCTTGATGCTGGGAGTCGTGAGTGAAGCCTCCTGCACTTGAATGTGCACGCTGTGTATTTTTGCAACGCAGTCGAGTTCACTCTGGCGCAGAAGTGCGTGAGGCGGGCAGTTGCATTCTGTATGTAGATCTGTTCTCGCCTTGTGGTGCGCCCGCGGTGGAGGCCCAGCGCGGCCCCCGCGGGGAGAGGCGGCCCTAGGCGGCCCCTCTCGGGAGGGCGTGTCTCAGGTGGCGCTTGGTGCCCCTGGAGGCCCCTCGGTCCCTTTCTTCCTTTTCCTGCCTTTAAGGTCCAACCAACCCAACCCAACACACAAGAGCGCGGCAGAATGCACAGGAGCACGACAGAACGCACAGGAACACGGCAGACCACGCAGGAGCACGGCAGAACACACGGGAACATTTGCGCCTTGAAGGCCCCGTCTTTAACTATAACACAAAGGAACATTGCATATCTCGTTTCACATGCTTAGTGGACGAAGCGACTCTTCTTAAGGAATGAGTTGGAATAAAGCCCTGAAGACCGTCCTAGATGGTCTATTATGCCGTGCTCCTGTTTTTTTCTATCGTGCTCCTTCGCTCCTGGGGCATCTTCTGCCGTGCTCCTTCGCTCTTGGGGCTATTGTGCCGTGCTCTTTGTCTTCGTCTGCCATGGTCCTTCTCTGCCGTGGTCTTTAGCCCTCGGGGTTGAGTCTGCCGAACCTAGAGGTACACGGCAGAACACGCAGGAGCACGGCAAAACAGACAGAGCACACAGGAACACGGCAAAACACACATGAGCACGACAGCACACGCAGGAGCATGGCAAAACAAGCAGGTACATGATAGAACACACGGGGGCACGGCAGAACACACAGGAGCACGGCAGAACACGCAGGAGCATGGCAGAAGAAGCAGGGACATGGCAGAACACACAAGAGCACGGCAGAATACACAGCAGCACGGCAGAACACGCAGGAACACGGCAGACCACGCAGAAGCACGGCAGAACACACAGGAGCACGGCAAACTTCATGTTACATGCTTGGTGAACAACATCGTTTTGAAAATTGCTGTTTAAACATCGTCTTGGGATAGCTCTTGAAAAAGGCTTCTAGATGGTTTAAGCCAGTCATCTAACAACGACGATTTCGCTAGGGACATCTTGAAAATGAATGTGTGCAACATCGGACTGCAACGGTTTTGTAAGGCATCAGGAAGGATCAAGAAGGGCCCCAAAGGCCCAAAACAAGCCCAAATTTGACCCTCAGGAGCGCCCTCGAGACGATCCAAAGTGGCGATTTCGTTTGACACATCCTTACAACAATGAAATGTTCACAGCATCGATTTCATCAAAAATGAGTGTTTCGCCTGAGACATCCCTTAAACATGGGAAGGCGCGAACTCGACAGATGTTCAAAAACGGGTGTCTCGCCTGAGACATGTTAACAAAACTGGTATCTTGGAGTGGTGGCTTTAATACTTCTCATGTTAAAAATCGCGCTCTCGCTGCATACATCCTCAAAAAAATCGGGCGGGGCATGGTCGGCGAAAAAAGAGCAAGGCAAAGAATGAGCAGTTCTGCCGTGCTCCTTCGCTCACGGGGTCTGTTCTGCAATGCTCGTTGTTTTTTTGTGCCGTGATCCTTCGCTCTACGGGCCTATTCTGCCATGCTCCTGGCCATTTTCTGTCACAATCCTTTGTTCTTGGGGCTTATGATGCCGTGCTCCTGGTCGTTTTCCGCCGTGCTCATTAGCTCTTGGGGCATATTCTGCCGTGCTCATTCGCTTTCGGTGGTTATTATGCCGTGCTCCTTGTGTTTGTATTGCATACTCCTTCTTCCTTGGGGCGTATTATGCTGTAGTCTTGCATCTATCTTGCCGTGCTCCTTAGCTCTCGCGGTCTATTCTGTCGTGCTCCTGGTCACTGGTCGTGTTTTGCAATGCTCCTTCTTTCCTGGCGCCTATTTTGCCGTGCTCCTCAGCTCTTGGGATATCTTCTGCCGTGCTCTTGTGTTTTCCTGTCATGCGCCTTCGCTCCTGGAGCCTAATTTGCCGTGCTCCTTCGCTCTTGGGGTCGATCCATAGCCGAACGAGAGGACCTTCTTCCTGTCATGCTCCTCTGCCGCAATCGTCTCGCATTTCTGTCGTGCTCCTTCCTGTTTGGGGTCTATATGCCGTTCTCTTTAGCGCTTGGGGTATACTCTGCCGTCTGGTTTTCTTCTGCCGTGCTCCTTCGCTCTTCGGGCCTGTTCTGCCGTGCTCCTGGTGTTTTTTTGTTTCTGCCGTCCTCCTTAGCTCTTGGGGTCTACTCTGCCGTGCTCCTGGTCTTTTTGTTGGCCGTTCTCCTTCGCTCTTCGGGCCTCTTCTGCCGTGCTCCTTAGCTCTTGGGGTCTATTATGTGGTGTTCCTGTTTTTTCTGTCGTGTTCCTTCGCTCATGGGGCCTCTTCTGCCGTGCTCCTCAGCTCTTGGGGTCTATTCCGCCGTGCTCTTGTTTTTTTTTTCTGTCGTGTTCCTTCGCTCATGGGGCCTATTCTGCCGTGCTCCTGGTATTTTTTCTGCCGTGCTCCTTAGCTCTCGCGCTCTCTTCTGCCGTGGTCCTGGTCTTTTTCTGCCGTGCCCCTGAGCTCTGGGGGTCTATTCTGCCGTGTTCCTGGTCATTTTCTGCCGTGCTTCTTCGCACTTGGGGCATCTTCTGTCGTGCTCCGTGTCTCTTGGGTTCTATTCTGCAGTGCTCCTCGTCTTTTTCTGGTTTGCTCCTTCGCTCTTCTGGCCTATTCTGCCGTGCTCCTGGTCTTCTCTGTCGTATTCCTTGGCTCCTCGGGCCTTTTCTGATGTGCTTCGGTCTTTTCTGCCGTCGTCCTTAGCTCTTGGGGCATCTTCTGCCGTGCTCCTGGTCTTTTTCTGGCGTCTTTTTTGCTCTTGGGGCCTATTATGCCGTGGTCCTTAGCTCTTGGGGTCTATTCTGCCGTGCTCCTGGTCTTTTTCTGCCGTGCTCGGCAGCTCTTGGAGTCTATTCTGCCATGCTCCTGGTTTGTTTCCGACGTGCTCCTTCGCTCATGGGGCCTATTCTGCTGTGCTCCTGGTCGTTGTCTGCCGTGCTCCTGCTTTTTTTCTGCCGTGTTCCTTCGCACTTGGGGCATATTCTGCCGTGTTCCTTGTCTCTTGGGTTCTATTATGCTGTGCTCCTCGTCTTTTTCTGGTTTGCTCCTTCGCTCTTGGGGTCTACTTTTCCCGCACTCCTTCAGCTCTCGGGGTCTACTCTGGCGTGCTTCTGTTTGTTTTTCTGCCGTGCTCCTTCACTCTTGGGGCCTATTCTGCCGTGCTCCTGGTCATTCTCTGCCGTGCTCCTTAGCTTTCGGGGTCTATCCTGCCGTGCTCCTGGTCTTTCTCTGCCGTACTCCTTCGCACTTGAGGCATATCCAGCCCTGCTCCTTGGCTCCTGGGGTCTATTCTGCCGTGCTCCTGGTCTTTGTCTGCCGTGCTCCTTCTTTCTTGGGGCCTAATCCGCCGTGCTCCTGGTCTTTCTCTGCCTGTTCCTTAGCTCTTGAGGTCTATTCTGCCGTGCTCCTGGTCATTTTCTGACGTGTTCCTTAGCTTTTGGGGTGTATTCTGCCGTACTCATTTGCTCTTGGGGTCTATTCTGCCGTGTTCCTTGTCTTTCTCTGCCGTGCTCCTTCGGTCTTGGGGCCTATTCTGCCGTGCTCCTGATCTTTTTCTGCCGTGTGCGCCCAGAAGCTCTGCCAAAACGACCACCGCGACGATCCGCACGGCAGATACAGGAACACGGCAGAACACACAGAGCACACAGAGGCACGGCAGAATACAGAAGCACAGCAGAACAGGAGCACGGCAGAACACACAGGAGCACAGCAAAACACACCCCGCACGCACGCCGACACGCGCGCCACGGCATACCTGCGCGGCATAACAACAACAGAGCATTGTCCACATGCTTGGTGGACTAAAGCGACGCTTCCTGTTCTTGTCCGGTCAGGTTTGGCCTTGGAGACAAGCCCAAAGATCCAGAACCCGTTTCTTTTCAGGACCCGCTTCCTTCCTGCCAACGGACCCATAGCCCCTCGCGCAATGAACAAATCATGACGGACGTTTTTGTTGCTGCCATGTTCGGCTTTGGGGGGCGATTACCGAGCCTCGGGACTGCAAACAACGATTCAGGATAAAGAGCCAGTCCGGGGGAAGGGCTCGAGACCTCTGGGGGTCGACGTCACGAAACAAAAACATGACGTCGGGTGTCTGGGGAAGTCGGGGGCGTCCAAGAGGGGGGTGAGGATTGCGTGTGGGTACGTGGATCTCATAGCCAGGGCCACGAGATCTCCCAGATTTCATGGGCGCAGATTCCTCGGGCCATGGCGCGGTGACCCCCTCTTCGGCGCACCCGACGGCGAGGCTGCGGTATGCTGAATGCCGCAGCCTCCAGGGAATATGCTGACACCCCCGCCGCCCCTGACAAAAACAATACAACGTGCTCGCGGGCCTCACGAACATGACCCAAGACTTCGCCCCACAGGGAACTTCGCATTGTTCCCGGAAAGGGCGTGGGCCCAGGGTTCTCTTTTAGAGGTTTACCCCCGGAATCGACGGCTGTAGGGCTGGCGGGATTATTTGCGATCAATATCGAGGTCGCCTAGGGCCGGCGGAATTATTTTTGCGGAT